TTCTCCTAACAACGTATCTATCGAGACTGTTAATCTTTTATAATACAATATATTGTCAAATATGTAGCCTTTAAGAAGATCCGCATATCTTCCTTTATGTGTTTCCATCTTTTTTAAGATTTCTTTATAGTTTAGACTTTTTTCGCCGTAGAATTCGGCAAACAGTTGAGGGATACTGTTTTTAATGGTTAAGCCAAAACCTTTTTCTTTAATATTCTGAGTTTCAGTGATGACAATCTCTTGGTATTCTACTGCGTTGCTTCTATGAAGTCGAGGTCCGATCATACCAATAATTATTCCTATGAGAAGTTTTAAAAATTACTACTACTACATTACTAATTAAATACCTGCCCCAAACAAGGTTGTTACCAACAAAAACAAATTTTGCAGGAAAAAGTTTCAGAACAACAAATCTCTTGCTGTTACAATCTTATTCTTGGATCTTATCCTTGGATAATATGGTAAATTGAATTAAGGATTTTTGCTTAAAAAACCTTAGTCCATGCTTAGCATAGTTTCTAAAATATTGTTGGTTACAACATTGTTCAGAGCAAGCATTCAATTATTAATCATTTTACCTTCATTTTCGATTTTATTCCTGTCTTCTTCATATTTAGCTTCATTCGCTCGATTTCCGTTATTAACAAAATAAGTGTAAGAACTGATTGACAGTAAAGCAGAAAGTTTTAATTCATCATAGGTCATATACTGTTCAATTGTAAGAGGGGGTGCTTCAGCATCTGTCCCAATGATGTCCCAATTATTAATACCTTTTGTTTTGTCTAAGAGCATATATTTATCATAAGAACCTAGGAAACATACTGCTCTTTTACTTATTAGTCTGTTGATAAGGTCTTTAAGACCTACAAGAAAGGGAAAATTGATAAATACCTAAAACTACTAAAATAGTTATTTGTGTATTAACAGCAGAAACTAGCACTTTAGCATTTGAGACAGAAAGATGTCGCGCGAGTCGTTAGAGGAGCGCGGCAATCTGTCGTTATCAAATTTATTTGACATAAGCCTACTCTTCGAAGAGAAAAAATGTTTTAGTACTTACATGTCGGTAATTATTTATGATGTAATCATTTAATTATTTACGGAAAATACTGTTGGATGATTTAAAATATTAGGAAGTCAATTTAATATTTAAAATTAGCCTATATTTTGTTTTAAAATACCGATTTAATTCAAATGAAAATAGACAAGTGTGTACCAAAGTTACTTTGGCGCATATGTGCGCCAATAATGTCAAATTATGACAATTCGTGGAAAACGTCAACTTTCTAGTTAAATTTGAATGTGCAAAAACCTACTTTGGATAGTGATCGTAGAAAAATAAATGTTTCTACGGCTATAATACACTTTCTCAACTGTTGTTGATTAAGAAATGAGAAACATGTCCTTATTTGATAATTTTGATAACACAAAGTAGTCATTCCCTAATTATTTTAATAAAATCTTGTGTGATATGATCACCCGATTTATTTTTATTTGGTTGAATTATCGAGTGATTTCAATGTGACTTACAAAAACAACACCAATACTTTACCTATTTTGCTGAAGTAATGTCGTTCTTTTACATTCCCATGTTTTCTCTTAAACAAAATAAAATCACAACAGAGTTGTAAAACGCCTTCGTTTATAACTGGATAAACGGAATTAATATTTCTACCCAAGACATCTTCAGGTACGTTCTTAACTTCGTGTAAGTATTCACATTTATTGCTCTGGGTTGGAAAATTTATATGAAAATTTTTGCTCTTCGTAATGATGTCAGTAACGGACTGTTCGGGTAAGTCTTCGATGTGAAATTCTTTTAATAACTGCAAAGTATCTTCGGTCCAATGCTTTCCTGGTTGCCATTCTGGTAAGGTAAAGGGCTGAACAGCAGTTGGACTTGTTGGTTTTATAAGATTAGTAAGCCCTAAAAATGGGGAGTGATTAATAGAAAGTTTTAATTATTTAAATATTTGACAAAACCAAAATGGATGAATAGATGCAACTGTATTATCTTATGATTCAGTGGTTTCTAAAGACCCGAACAGGGTCATATTTAACTTAGGGGCCAAGAAGGGCTTGTTAAATAGGGGAGCAAAATAATTTAAGAACACTAACAAAAAATGCATCTGCATTTATTAAACATATACGTGTAAAATTATTTAAAACTTTTTAGGAGTCTGTTAAAACCTCACATTTTTCTTATGTAATGAAATGATTGTTTCATTTAAAAATAGTTTATTAAAAACAGTTTATTTATAATTTATTTATAACGTACTAATTAATTTATTTAAAACTTAAATACTATTACAACTCACAATTATAATTTATTTATTACAATTTATCTTTTCTATGCGACACTAAACTGAAATTTTTCGTCTTCTGACAAACTCGTGCTATTTCTATAAAGCCAGCTCGGCACTAGTAGTTAGTAGTTTCTCGGCGATCTAGTACGTCCGGGATTTTTTTCTCTATGATTCAACCGCGCAGTGATCTCTCCGGGGTAGCTTCTCGAAGGAATGCGTTTGTCTCTATATGGCCAACGCTAAACTACATCCCAGATAGCAGAGGAAGTCCCATGGACGTTCTGATTTGGTCCCTTGTTGGTCTGGTTGGTCCCGGTTCTAAATAGGACGTCCACTGTACTTCCGATTACCGTGAACACTGGGATGTCCTTCGAAGTTTTGGTTCCGTTTCAACAAAGCGTTTAGTTTTCGGTCCGAGTCCAGGACGTTAATGGGACGTCCATAAGACGTCTATGGGACTTTCTATGTACTAGCAAAGTTGGTATTTCAATCGATAACTTGAAATTCAACGTTTTGTTTTTGCAAGAGTATGAGGACAGCAAACCTAACCTATCATTTATTTTCAAATGAACAACAGCTACAATTTTCGGCATTAAATAGTTAACTTATATAAGTGAGTTATTAGATTAACGAAGAAAAAAGAAGGTTATATAGTGTTATTTGTTATTTTTTTGATGTTGGCGATAAAGTGGTTATAAAGTGAAGTGAGTGTTTTGTGTTGAGGTGAGAAAAATTAATGTGTATTAGCGGTAGCCGCTGGCTGAAAGAAAATACCTTAATGGCGGAAAGTTGGAACAAAACTAATTTTGACAAAATTATCAAACTCAGTTATGTCGACCCTAGCTATAAGTAGGACCCAAAAGGTTTCATCTTACCAGCGCTGTATGTTAAATTTAATTAATTCCTTTTTTGTAAACTGTAGCTAGTTTTTTCAGGATAAAAGTTGTTAAATAAAGCCCTTTTATTGTTAACATTTTTGTTATTATTACCATTCATGTATTAATGTCAAATATCGTCCCTCAGACGTCTGATTTGCGTCCTTAGGACGTCCCGCAAAGGCAGGGCCGACTAGAGGGGGGGGTGTAGCCGGGACCAATTCCCGGGGCCCGCACTCAAATGGGGGCCCGGCAGCGGTATAAGGGAGGCCCGGCAGCGGTATAAGGGGGGCCCGGCAACCGGATATTTGTTGGTTTGTATGAGAAGTTCGGCACAAGACCAGAGAGGAAAAGTGTTTGTTTAAGGACCGTTTTTTTGTTTTCTTTTGTTTTTTTTTTTAAATACATTGGAATACTATTTTAAAGAAATCCGTTTAAATAATGTCAGAAGTAAATTAGCGAATACGAAAATATTTTTAAAGGCCGCCAATATTTTAACGGCTATAGGGGTCTATTCTGTAACAATTCCTTTATATTTAACGGCCTTTAAAAACATTTTCTTCTTTACTTCTGTCATTATTTAAACGGATCTTTAAAATACATTAGAGGACTATCTTAAAGCAATCTGTTTAAATAATGACAGAAGTAAATTAACGAATACGAACATATTTTTAAAGGGTTACAGAATAGACCCCCGTATGCTTGAATCGCGGATTGAACTTTTGAATTATTATGCAGAAGTGTATATAATGGCCATCTATCCTCAACTCAGTTATTTAATAGTTTTTGTCTTAAAATTTATATGGATACAAAAAAATGCAGTCAATCGAAACCCAAATAAAACAAAAAGAAATCGATTTTGTTGCCACTTATCGATATTTAAAATACAATCGATGAAATTCTGGGAAACAAATTGCATAAATTTATGAAATGAGGGTGATAATAAAAAGTAATTTGTAAAATAAACTTACAATTCATGTCACAACTTGAAACAAATTGCACAACACATTAAATTATTGAATATTACAAAAAAATACGTTCTTTCTATGCGTTCTTTACAATATAAACAGGTACCTAAACAAAGTCGACAACTAGTATTTAAAATAAATGAATGAATATTAAAGTGCAAATATTTTTTTAAATATGCGCGATATATAAAAGGTGCAGTCAAAAGTAAATCGATATAATAGTTTTCCCGGTTGGCTATAAACTATTTTATTTGTGTTATTTGTTGCGCAAACAATCAAAATGCAAAATAAAATATACTGGGTTTTACCATGCCAAGGTTATTTAAACGAAAGGTAATGTATGTAATTTAATTGTATCTTTCAAGTGATTTTATATTATCAACAAAAATGTTTATAAACACTATTATAATCAATTTCTTTTTTATTTTGCTATTATCCCCTCGTATCAAGGGTTATTCTGTCCTATTCTGACATTTTGATACACTTCGAGCATGCAGCTTACCCTCCGTGCAGCTTCAGCTTACCTTTTATCATTTACAGCCTTGTTTTCTGTCTACGTCAGTGTCAGTAGGTTCTTTTGTTCGTGTTCGTCCCACTGGTGTAGGAATAACACCAAGGGATACTAAACCTTTCGTTTGGCTCGGTGTAAAATCCATTACACCTTCCTGTCGGCGATGTGATGTCCACTGGTGGATATTTTCTCCACCACCTGTATAGCAGGAATATCAGGATTGAATTACACTTACAATCGAAATGTGTATAAGGAATAAGGAGGAAGTAAACTAGGTAATTGTGGTGGTGTAATTGACACTGGTGTACACTGCACCGACAGCGAACGAAAGAACCTAGTGACTCAGTGGTGCCACTGCCAGAGCTATCAATTTCACTGTAAATTAAGGTTGCCATTTCTATTTTGCGAAATGGCTGCTGTTTCAGACTTTTTTTCTCTAGGTAGTGTTGTTTGGTGTAGAACTTGTTATAATAAAGAAATCGAAGGAGAAGTGTTGGCGTTTGATCCACCAACGAAAGTATTAATTTTAAGTATCCTTTTTAAATCCAGTCAAAACGTGGTAAACACAATTTCACTGTTTTGCTGTGCCAATGTTTGTGGCAATTTTGTTCAAGATTTAGCAATTTTGGAATAAATATTCACATTAAAATCTATTCATTACATTCGCTTTGTTTATTTACATTGGATATTTGAATAAAATAATTTTAAAATCTTGAAAACTTTTGCCAAAACAACAGTGGTTATTGTATATTATATTGTTTTCAGCCATTTTTTTATTTAATCTTTATAAAAAGAAATGTTTTCCTTAACGATTGATTAGAATGTACTCCAACAAATGGAGATCCAAAATTAAATGACATCCATTTTGTTAATCTATCCCTTGTTAGTGAATTACAAGTCAAGAAAGAAGTTAATAATGTACCAGAACCCCCACAATCTTTGAATCTACAAAGGGTGAGTATTTACCAGTTTGAAGTACCTATAAAATAAAAAACAAGCCATTCATTGGGATACTATACCTAAGTTGCTGCAGTTGTAAAAATGATCATTAAAAATGCATGTGTGGTTTCTCATCTATTTATATTTAATGGTAATAATACAGAAATAGATTTTTTTATAAGATAAATTATCAAATTTAGTTTCCTGCCTTCTCTGTTGGATACTTCTTTAGTTTTCTTTCCTCTCTCTTTTTAGTTTTATCTTATTTAGTCTTTCCAAATAGTCCAACTTCCTAGATTCTGTTTTCTAAGGTAAGAGAACCAGTAATTGACACCATTTCACCAGTTATCATTGCTCCAGTTATTGACAGTTCCACCATTTATCTTCACCCCAGTTATCAACAGTTTTACTAGTTATTGTCGCCCCATTAATTGACAGAAAGTGTCGACACTGGATAATATGTGTATATGTACCCAGTTATTGATACCCCTAAAATGTAGGTTAAATTCTAAGTAAGCAAGAATATTTTAACAAAAACATGTGTTTCAGTTCGCAAAGATTTCTGGTCCAAAATTTTATTCACATATCTTAACTATTTAAAAAGCAACAACCTATTTTATAAATTAAATTTCTTATAGAAAAAAAAATTCATGTGGCAGACACAGTGTACACCATTTTTGCCGCTTAATTAAAACTGTGTTTCTTGAGGATTTTTACAGTGTTCCTTTAGACATTATAATTTCGTCCTAGCAGAGAATTATGTGCAAATCTGATGGCATACCCTTATTAGGAGAGTTTGAATTTTAAAGCATTGATTACTGGTGTAGTCTTGATTACTTATCCTCTTTCATTCTTACAAAATGAACATAACAACCCAGTTTGTTGTTTTCTAATGCCTTCTGTATGAATACATTCTTCTATTTCATAACTTATTTTCTTGTCTATACTTCTACTGTCTTAATATATTTCATCTTATTATCTCAGGTTCTTTTTTTTGTCTTTTTATCTTCAACTCCATGTTAGCAAACCGGTTTTTATTGTTTTTTCTTTGTAGCTTAGTAAATTGTAGATGAAGCTGACTAAATTCTCTTGTTTTTCTCCATGCTCTTTATTATAAATTATGGGTGCTGTGTATCTATAACTGCCCAGATTTTCTGTTTCATCTTAATAATTTTACTTTTAGTATTTTGTGAATTTAAGTTTAATAACTTTTTTTTTTTTTCAGCTAAACACAAGGGTGAGGAATCAAGTAGATGAAAAGAAACGAATGTTCCAAGCAATATCAGCAAATGTTAGTTCTGAGGGACAAAGTTTGTTTATAGCTATAGCTAAAACCATTAGTGAAGTTAGGTGGAACAATTCTGAAATTGTGGTTTGGAACCATGACGTAAGTATTTACTCCTTAAAATCTACAGTAAGGAAGGTTTGTAAGTTCTAAAAATAACATTACTTTTCTTTTAAGGTTATAATTAGTCCACCTTACCAATTGGAAAATATAAGGGGGAATGCCAACAGTAGAGAGTACACATATATAAGAAAAGTGGTAAGTATTGTCCAATTATTTTTTTTTATATAAAAATATAGCCATTTAACAAAAAAGAATAGATTTAGTTTGCAGGGTTGTTCTTTGAGGGGTTTGAAATCAATGTTTCAATGAGTTAGTCCTGGGATATATCGGCAGGACATGTTGAGATAATTTGTTTGGTATTGCCCTTTGAAATGCCAACTCCTATGAACTGCCTGAAATATAATACACTCCATAATTATTTTCATACTCTTTATTCACTTAAAAGATTTAATATAATCATGTTAAATGCTCTGTAGTCCCCAGGTAGATGAAATGAATAGGTATAATGGCAAAAACATTTTGATTTTTGATATGGACTACTGCATAGATCTCGAGACCCAATTACTTTATTAAGTTCCCAACTAGAATACATTGTCATGAATTATTTAAAAAACATCAAAAAATTTAAAAACATTCAATTTTTTTTTTAGTGCTACAGTTGGTAACTTGAAATCATTTAATTTCTATTTTAGGTGGAGAAACACATGAAAGATATAGCCTTAAACAGTCAGAGCCAAGCGGTTTGTCAAAATAATACTTCGCAATAAGCTGAAAAACAACAAAGAAGAACGTTTAGATAATTTATATATCTAAGGCATGATACCTCTGTTATATTTGATTTTCAAAACTGGAAAAATATTTTTTATTTGCATATCATTTTTATTAAATTCGCAAAAGTTTATACAAATTGAAAATCAAGTGTTTTTGTTCAGTTTTTTTATGAGTTTTGTATTGGAGAGTATGGATTGGTACTACCAAGCCAATACAATACCCATTTATTTATTTTATATGAATAAAAAGAATAATTTACTATTTTCTGTTTTTTTATGTCGACAATGTTTCTGGAAGGCTGTTCTGGTCTCATGGAAGTTTTTTGAGGCACATGACTCAACATTTGTATGTTAAATAATGATAATACATTTGTCCATAGGATACAACATATAACAAAAACAAGTTATAAAATCGTTACCATTACAAATATATTTCGTATAAAATATTCTCAATACAATTAATAATTTTTCCTTTCGATTTTTTTGCATCTATAAGGATAATATGAAAAATTAATAAAAAAAATCTAATGTATTGAAGTCAAAAATAGCTATTTGTATTAATAGGGAGGAAAGTGCCACTTTTCCTCCTGCAGGATGAAGTTTACTGCCCGACGTGAAGCGGAGGGCAGTAAACATCCAAGGGAGGAAAAGGCACTTTACTCCCAAGTAATACATATGATTTTTCCGCCTCCCTCAAATAACAAGTCATTTTTAAATAATTTATTTATGAAACTAACAAACAAAATTTATTAAAGAACTAAAATTATGAAGTAGGTACAGTATAAATTATAGGCATGTTATTTTCATTCTTGCATCCTACATATTTTTAATTTGTGGTAGAGTAATTATTTTTCTGAGTAAGTACGAATATGCCTTTCTTCGGCCCATTGCTTGAAATGTAAATACCGTTTTTCGTATTTTTCTTTAGATTTTTGGGGTAATAGAGATTGTACTGTTGCATTAACCTGTTCCAAAATATCCGGTGGTGTATTATTTATATCTTCAAATTCGCTTGAATCACTCATTTTTTAAATATTATTTTATATTTTGTAGATATATTATAGCGTACAGTTCATCAAATTTCTAGAGGCTTTCGACGGCTAGACAGAGAAAGCACTATTGACAGGCATCCCGACGGATTTACGCAATGAAAGTACACTCTGCGCATCAAGTATTTCACTATTTCATTCAGACGTAAATTTCGCTAAAACATTTCTTTTATTTTCGTTTATGTTTTTTGCTCATTACAGTTTAATAGAACCTAAGTATGGAGTTTAATAGCAAATTAAGAGGCCGCGTGATTAACAGTCAATCTCGCGAAATAATAGCCAATGTTATAGAGTTTATGAGAAGAGAAGGAAACTTTAATTCACCTTCAATACCATTTAAAAATGTAAATGATCGTGTTGCTGCAGCCACAGGAGTATCTAAAAACACTGACGTCCGCATTTCTGGAGAGAAAAAAAGAATCGATAACCGTGAGATATCGGAATTTTCATCACCAAGAAAAACCATTAAAAAACCAAAAACAGTTAATGATATAGATGAAGCTGCACAAGAATCAAATTTTATTTGTTTATTATTAGATAGCTATTTTTGTTTCTGAGTTGTGTTCATTTACATGCTCAATTTTTTTCCGTTTCTCCTTTTTGATTTTATATCATATATTTCACAGAAATTCAAAGAATCAAAATGGCTGCATATCAAAAAATTACATTCTTTGCATATTCTGAATATAACTCACAAAATTCTTAAATATCAAAAACCGAAATATCTATTTAATAAATTCACACATTTCAGTAATAATTACGGAACTCGGAATAAGAGTACGTTAGTAATTCCCAAATTTAGTTCATCCATTGGACAGCGAAGTTTCTCTTACACCGCAGCTAAATTATACAATACACTGCCTAAAGAATTTGGATCGTACACTCTAATTAATTTTAAAAAAAGGTTAAAAGGCTTGTTTGTCGGTTTAGGACGGTTCTAATAAAAACAATAATCTCTGTTCATCTCGGATCTGCTCTTTGGTTCTTGATATTTTCTTGGATCTTTACTGAGGTTGAGTTGAAAAACAGCCTATGCTGACACTCCGCCTATTCACCTTTGTTATTTTTATATTTAGGTAGAAAAAAAAAAATTTATTCTTTCTTTGTTTTTTGTTATGGTGAATAAAGACGATTTATTATTATTATTATATGGGGTTTCAAGTTGTTTTTTACTTATTTCGACGTAAATCACAACAACACACTTTTTTAATAAAGCAAACAAGTGTTAAGAGGTATATGTACGTGTAAACTACAATTACAAAAAAATTGATATGAAACCACCAACAAAAATGTAAAGCTAGCTTCCGTACTAGAACATGGTGTCATTCGTCGAGATAATTTATCGTTTTGTTTAATAGATCAAGAAATGTAAATATTCCCCTGTTATTTTTTATAAAATTATAAGAGAAATAAATTTTTTTCTAAATAGTATAGTTTATTATTTTGTAGAAAAACAAAATTTCGAAAATTTTAGTAATGTTTCAGAAACAACCGTTATTAATAATAGGTACCATTTTCCTTAATAAGGTAGAAATAAAATATAAACTATTTCCACGATTTACAAAGGCCTACAAAAAAATTATAGATATTTTCCGCTATCCTATAAAATTTATATTTTCTGACTCAATTTCAAAAGGTTGAAGGAATTCCAAAACACCTTTTATGACATAATAATTATTTTCAATTCTACATACTATCTTTAGCTGCTTTTAAAAACGTTCTAAGAAAGTCCAATCAGACCAATTTAATCCCTAAACTATTCCACACTTTTAAAATTTAATTACCTAAAAATATTTAAAATAACTTGTTTAGCAGACTGTACAATAGCTATCTTAGTCACACGTAGCGCGTTCTCTGTCTGGGCGTCGAACACCTCTAGAAATTTGATGAACTGTAACACACTTTAAAACTGATCTGTCAATCGACCATAGCATGCTATAATATTTCTGTCCTAAATTCGAAAATCGGATGAATCTATGAATTGAAGTCAAATTATTAATGTAAAAATCGTTAAATTAAAATAATTTACTGATTTTTACTATTTTGCAAAATACAGGGTGTTCTATAAATAAACGGTAAAATTTATACTTATATAATAGAATATAGTTTAGGTCGTCAATGCCGTATAAGCTATTTCATTTATGACATACCATGACGTCACTTATTTACTTTTCCTCCCTAGGGACAGAACGTGAAAATCTGAAAAAATCTCTGAAGATGACTTTTTCATGATTACAATACTTCCCTTTTATAGAGATAAGTAGAAAAAAGACAAACCGTAGACACGTGTTTCTGACTACACCAAAATTTTTAATATTGTTCCAAATTTAAAAATGTTTGTACCAAAACTCTTCTCATCAATTTTTAAACAACTATTTTCTAATTTTGACCTTTAAAGAGTAACATATTTTGTAATCGCAGCAAGTGTCAATAAAACGATCTACTTTATAAAACCAGTTGCATAAAGTATATAGAACATTATGCAATACTGATTACGAAAAGTTGATTATGTCACCATGCAGTTATTACGAAATCAAAATAAATAAAAATGCCTCTCGTTTAGTTTTGAAATAGAAAAATCAAAAATCCAAAAACAAAAAATCGAAAAATAAAAAAATTGTAAAATCAAAAAATCGAAAAAAAAGGCAATTACGTTTAACAACAAAAAAGAAAACAAAAAATAAAAGCTGTAAATTACGTTTTTTTTTAATAATTGAACACCGTTATTGAAAATTGCCCAGAAATGTTGAGGGTAAAATTTTGACGTACTTGCCTTTAGGGATAACGGGTAAAAACGTTTTTTTTAATTTCCCGCGGGAAACGTCAAAATTCAGATTGGCAACACTGCACATGTCACTTATTTTTATTATTAGGTACTATTAAAAAAAAAACGCAGGGCAATCAAATAAAACAATTTTCTGAAATATTTGATTGGGAGTACCTATACAAAAGAATGATGATGAATCATTTTTTAACCAAACACAATTTTTTAAATAATCAAGTCAAAATTAGAAAAAATCTTACGTTACAAAATACCGTTTTGTGTAACTCGTTCATTTTGCGGGATCTCGCTCCGCTTGTCTCGAAAATATTTTCTCGTAAAACAAATAAGGCATTTCGTAATTGGTTACATAAATACCTATTAAATGTTCGTCCGACCGATGTCACGTTTTATGTCCACACGATAAGTCGAAAAGAAAAAATTATATTAACTTGAAATTTTCAGGAAAATCAATCTCTATAAGGGGAAGAAGCATACTGATTTAAAAAAATCTGATAAAAATAGGAGGATTAAGGGGAGGGAGTAAAAATAACTAACTAGTGTTAGTAATCATTAATTAATTACAAAACAATCAAATATCATATAAGAATACAGAGAATCATTTCACTGTAATAATACTTCGCAATAAGCTGAAAGAGATTACTCAAGGGGCCAACGACCACACATTTGTGGTCTCGGCCACATATACCCTATGGATGTGCCCGTGATTCATTTTCTCTTGTTTTATTCTCCCCACATTAAACATACTTCTCTTGTTTAGTCTCCTAGATGGGTATATAATTGCCTCCGTGCCGACGCTGATATTTTCCCACAAAATGCAGGAAATGTTGGCCGAGACCACAAATGTGTGATTATCCTCTTGAGTGATCTTTTGTTTATTTTGATTTCATCGCAAGTTCCATGCTCTTTTAAACTTAGCTATTCCGTACTGATGAAGACCAACAATCAGAAACACGTGTCTATGGTTTTCCTTTTAGCTTTTTCCACTTTCTTTTTGTGGGATATTCCCATTATATTCCTTTTGTCTTGTTTTATTCTCCACGCACTAAACCTTCTTCTGTTGAATACTCTCAGTACTAGTTTTACTTTTTTGACCTACCTGCATAATAATACCTACCTGTGTCACAAGCACAAATTACAAGGCTGATTTAAGATTTTACATCATAATGTGCATAGTTTTCGTTAACTCTACGCACGCTCACACAGACATCATCGCGAAAATAGCCAAAACGGATTCAGGGGACCCCAAAACGTAAAAACCCATCAAAAATTTGAGGTAAAAAAAATCATGATTTCCTATACTTTCCTTATATGTGTACAGATAGGAAAGTAAAAGAGTCTGCGATAAAAGAGTAGCAAAATAAAATATTCAGACATCCTATAAATATAATTAATAAAGCGCCTGTTTAAAATGCTTAAAAACAGAAATACCTTGCCCTCTGTTACTAAACCAAATAAAATACTAAACTATGTAGAAAATATATTATTGTCAATCCGATTCCCTATATTACCAACGGCACCAATTTTTTAATACAATTTTGGTGCCTGATGAGTGTATTTATCGAGTCTATACGAAAAAGTAGTTTCGCATACATCCAAAGAAAATGGTATTACTTGTTTTTTTTTGGTTATGCTTGAACCAGACGAGTAGGTAGGTATGGTTATTATTATATTCACACACTAGTCTTTGAAGAGTATGATAGGTTTATTTTCGAGACACCAAAATTTTTAATAATATTGTTCCAAATTTAAAAATGTTTGTACCAAAACTCTTCTCATCAAATTTTAAACAACTATTTTCTAATTTTGACCTTTAAAGTAACATATTTTGTATTCGCAGCAAGTGTCAATAAAACGATCTACTTTATAAAACCAGTTCCATAAAGTATATAGAACATTATGCAATACTGATTACGAAAAGTTGATTATGTCACCATGCAGTTATTACGAAATCAAAATAAATAAAAATGCCTCTCGTTTAGTTTTGAAATAGAAAAATCAAAAATCCAAAAACAAAAACTCAAAAAAATAAAAAAATTGTAAAATCGTAAAATCAAAAAATCGAAAAAAAAAGGCAATTACGTTTAACAACAAAAAAGAAAACAAAAAATAAAAGCTGTAAATTACGTTTTTTTTTAATAATTGAACACCGTTATTGAAAATTGCCCAGAAATGTTGAGGGTAAAATTTTGACGTACTTGCCTTTAGGGATAACGGGTAAAAACGTTTTTTTTAATTTCCCGCGGGAAACGTCAAAATTCAGATTGGCAACACTGCACATGTCACTTATTTTTATTATTACTATTAAAAAAAAAACGCAGGGCAATCAAATAAAACAATTTTCTGAAATATTTGATTGGGAGTACCTATACAAAAGAATGATGATGAATCATTTTTTAACCAAACACAATTTTTTAAATAATCAAGTCAAAATTAGAAAAAATCTTACGTTACAAAATACCGTTTTGTGTAACTCGTTCATTTTGCGGGATCTCGCTCCGCTTGTCTCGAAAATATTTTCTCGTAAAACAACTCAGCAAACATGAATTTGAGCACAAACAGCGGGCAGACGTTGCAATCGTTGGCACACAAGCGGCAGCGGCTGGCCGCCATAATAGCGATGATAATGTTTAAGCGGTTCTAGTCTTTAGGCGAATTGTATACTTGTTTATTAAGGGCCTTAATAATATTAACTTAAATTTTCCGCTGCTGAATTGTAATGCAAAGGTACATTAAAAATTCTTCAGTTGCGGCCCGGCCCGCACGTTGACGTCAGTTACAAATTTGGGATGGTAGCCCTTGCAAATATAATTCAAAAATAAGTGTTGGTAGCACTGGTGCTTATTGACGTATTGACGATTGACGTTTTATTATCCCTCCAATTCCAATAAGAAACAATAACCTCAATTTTTCATGATTTTTTCTTGACCTCTGGTCGGTGTTTGTTTAATGCAGTTTTAAGTTTAAGACAATTTTAGTTACCTATTAATTTCGAGTCTGTGATTTCGACAATGAGCCAGGATATTAAAAAGTAAGTAGATTATTTTAGTTCCATTTGTTATTAAAAATCTTTTATTTTCGTGTTTCGGGGTTGCAAAATTACTCAATAGTTTTAAAAAATACCTTTTTTTGTTGTATACAGAAACTTTTTTAAAAGAAAAACGGCGAGGCAGTTACGAAGAGCTGCCAAAAAACAGCTTCTAGTATAATTTCTACACTTGAGATTGAAGCTGGCATACTAAATTCTAGTGAAATGATAAGTAGTGAAAGTCATCATTTGGTCAATATTCCCAGTAGTAGTAAAATTACCAGCAGCAGCAGTAGTAGTAGTAGTAGTAATGCAAACTATGGTGGTATTCTCAATGATTTAAATAGAACATCTAACTCGAATGATAACAATGATTCAGTATTAATTAGTTCTGATTCAGATAGTTCAGATTCAGATAGTTCAAATTCAAATAGTTTTATTTGAAACTTTGTAATCATAGTAAACTGTTTAATTACACTTAAAATTGATCAGTGACAATTTTGTTAACTAAAATTATGGTTCTTTTTCTCTTTCATTCTGCTATTTAAAGTGTTCGGTAATAAAATCTTTTCCATTTTTTTTTTCTTGTATACAAATATAATTTACATTTATTATGTTTTTAGTGTAAATGGTTATCTTGTGTTGGAGGAAAAGATGTTGGGGAGACGACTCGAAAAATTTTGACCAAACTCATTTCCAACCAACTGGCGGTCAACTCTAATTGGACTGGCCGGAGGAATTGAGAAATTTCATCAATCTGATCCTTGGTAATATTTTCTTAATTGTGTATTTTCTTTATTTTTGCAGTTTGTTTTTTTTAGTATCAGTTAGAAAAAATCCCATATGTTCTAATGCATTATTAGACAATGTTGAGCAAGTCATAAAATCGTGGCTGAGGACTGCTTATGACAGAGATGGCGGTAGGTCCCGACGCAAAAGGGCGGATGAAAATTAACGTTTTTTGTTTTTGTTTTAATTTTACACGAGTTATGTTTTTTTATTATACAAGAGTTATGTTTTTTATTTCTTTTGATTATTTTTTTATTCTACAAGAGTTGTTTTTTATTTTACAAGTTTTTATTTATTTCATAAAATTTAATGATTTATTTTACAAGAATTTTATTTATTTTATAAGTATAAAAACAATGGACAATTTCAACGGAAGATTATTAAGAGCACCAATCGGTTTATGTAGAAACTAATACAAGCAAACTATGCTTTAAAAGGAAACTTTTATTTATAGCTATAGTTACAGTCTCCTTTTAAATTACAGTTTGCTTGTATTACAAAACCGATTGTTGCCAAAACAGTCGCCACCCCTAGCAAATGTCTTCAGTTGAAATTGTCCATTGTTTTGTATTTGTATTTTTTTATTTGTACATATTTTATTGGAAAATATATTTTGATTTATATTTTAGGCTATTTTATTTTTTTTGAAACACCCTGTAAAAATTGATCAGCAATGCGACAATTACCCGCTGCCCAAACGACATAGTTTATGCGTACCGCCTTTAAAGGTATATTAATAGGAATATACACGTAGCCTTAATCATACCTCCATTTTACATATGCAATTGAACTTGATCATACCGAAATCATCACATAAAAGGCCCTTAAATGAGGTGGCGGCAAGGAACAAGCAGACCGTCTGGCGGCCGCCCTACCATATAATATGCGGGATGATTAAGTACCGCCTTGCAGGCCCTACAATTCTCTGATGCGGCAAGAAACGTCACGCCAGTATCAACCCTTAAAGGCATTGTTTGCTGGGAAATAAGGCATTTCGTAATTGGTTACATAAATACCTATTAAATGTTCGTCCGACCGATGTCACGTTTTATGTCCACACGATAAGTCGAAAAGAAAAAATTATATTAACTTGAAATTTTCAGGAAAATCAATCTCTATAAGGGGAAGAAGCAAACTGATTTAAAAAAATCTGATAAAAAATAGGAGGATTAAGGGGAGGGAGTAAAAATAACTAACTAGTGTTAGTAATCATTAATTAATTACAAAACAATCAAATATCATATAAGAATACAGAGAATCATTTCACTGTAATTTTTAAAAACAAAAAAAAATAAAAAAAGTTCTCCACGGCGGGGAATCGAACCCCGGTCTCCCGCGTGACAGGCGGGGATACTGACCACTATACTACCGAGGACTATGAAAATTTTGGTCTTAAAATACATCATAACTTAACTCAATTAAAAATATCTATAATATTTTATTGTGAAATGAATATAATAAAAACTATAACAAAATTGTTTTAATTTTCTAATATTAGCACCCACTAGAATTTAAGTCAAATAATTTTACATTCTATAGAAAAGTATAAAACGAATAAGCATTGTTCTAGATAGGTAGGTATGCAACACATCTTACGCTTAGAATTACCTATTTAAATTGTTTTTTCTTTATTTCTTCAGAAATACCTCTAGGAATAAAAAGGTAAACTATTATTATTTGACCGTTGTTCAAAAAATTAATTAATGATACAAGTATTTAGAAAAAAAATTATTTCTTCCCAATTAACTGAAACAAAATGTAAAATAGATCCAAATCGATAATAATATAAATAAAGGTAACATTTGAAAATTTGTACATTTATTGAAATTAGAACAAATAAGAAATATACATGGTATTTTCAAATTTTAACCAAAGTAATCCTGCAGATTAAGTTTGATTTAAAAACGGGTTGTATTTAGAATCACCAGATCTGTAAAATTCGTGTGAAATATTACAGATCAGTGTGAATCACCCTTTATGTTCGTCGAAATCGCCCTGTAAGTTTCTGTCAAATGTCATTTTACACCAACCTTCGTTATATAAATTTGACGTCACACAGTCATTAAAAAAAAGTTGTCAAATGGTGCAGTACAATCTCTATTTTGATTTTTCGAACTTATAATCAAGATTTTATTCATTTTCAAGTGAGGACAAGAGTTAGAGGCATGTTATCTCTTTGTAAACAGACCCTCTCTTCAAGCTTACAAAGGTCAGTGATAAAATTAAGCATTGATAACTTTTATCTAATATTTTTATAAATTACTTAACACTATAAAATTGATTGATAAAGGAGGCGAATTAGATAATTTTGAACTTATAATTGTATTTAATCTATAGGTCAAGGGTTATCATTGGGGTAGATAATAATAAAGTAGGTTTATCTTTAGAGAAATGTATTGATAAATCGATGATAATGTAGAGGAATGGAATAGAGTGTGTTGGAACACTAGGAAATTTCCATTGGGAAATATTGCCATTTAACCAAATTCTCGGCTATGTTAACTCCTTTCAACCTTGATAATACAAAGAGCAAATATTTTGCTTTCGTAACTATTAACTCTAACAGCATTCATTTCCTTTGTTAATAAAATTATTTTCCAATAAAGAAGAAATAACAGCTGATCATGACAAATCATTTTGATCAGGATTAATTTAAAATATATAAGGATTAGTCCATAATTTTTGGAATTAATCCAATTTAAATTCCATACTAAAAATTCAAGATCAAAAATACAGTTTCAAGGTCTTTTTCAACCTAAATCAACATTTATTTTTGTATTAACTTTGTATATAATGACATTAAATATAGAGCGGATTTATTTTTAATGGCAAATTGGAGGACACGTCAAAATAAATTACCTAATAGATATGGTTGGAAAATTTTAATATGTTAATATATGTATAAATTGAGGTATTTAACTAATATTGCAAATAATGAGAACATGTTCTAAAATTATAATACAATAATTATAAAAATTACTTTGATTTTCGTTTAAAAAAAAAATAAAGTTTGGTTTTTGTATTAATACAAATCGTTAGGATAACAGTATGTCTTCTTACTAGACCCTACCGCCTAAGAAGGCACATTAGTGTCATCAATCCAGCAGAAGAAGCAACATTAAGAAGGAAGTCTAATAAAAAAACCAAGCTAGACAACATACTTTAAAATAAGGGAGTCCGGCAATACATTGCAGTGGACAAGGACAAATAATGTCCAGCTCCTTTTAAATCTAATATATTGTACTGTATTAAAATTTTGTATTTTATTCATTAATACTAAAACAATTTCCCTTATTTTTAATAAATTTTAAATTTATGTATAGTTATTCACAATTTAAAAAATACAGAATAGTATAATATTGAAAAATTTAATTTCATGATAAGTAAAAGCTATAGCGCACATTGATAATCAGCCAAATAACTTTATAATTCGTTAAGAGGGGGTATATACATCTATAAATCTAATAGCAACAAAAATAGACAGTACTAAGTTTGAAAATTGGTTATACTGTTTCAATTTAGTGTATTATCAAAACAGATTCAGATAGGTATTAAACAAATTTTTATTAAAATTTCCAAGTATTTAGGCTGTGTTAGGTCAACGGTCAAGTTCACTGGTATGGTCAGTCTGGTTGCTGAACAATTTAGTTGAAACTGTCTAGTCCTAATTTTTCAAATCCATGATCAGCACACTAAAGAAGTACAAGACCAGCTACCAAGCACCTGTTTATTTCCAAATTGATGTATTGAATTTGTTTTTTAAAAGTGTTCAACGAAATCATGAAAGTGTGACATTTAGATAGGGGCGCCTCGGTAGCTATAGGCATTATAAGTGGTATGTGTCTCCCAAAAACTTGACTTATTTTCTTAACATTTTTGTAATGCTCATTTGACGATAAGAGTACCAACCTACAAGAAAAATTAAACCCTCCACCAATTTCGCTGGGCCATTTTTTTCACTCCAACGTTTTAAAGTATTACGTGAGTGGGCATGCTTGTGACTTATTTTCTTATGGCTGGTGTTTTTGGTTTATTTTCAAGTTTTTTTTTTGTCTTTCACAAAATTCACCTCCTCCACCAATTTCGCTGGGCCATTTTTTCTCTCCAATGTTTTAAATTGTTGCGTGAGTGGGCATGCATACCTGTCTTATTTTCTTATAGCTGAATTTATTATTAAAGTACTGGGATATGTGTCCAACGATTTCAGGATAGCATGACGTTCAGACCAGGGCGCTTAGATAGTTATAGGATTTTTTTTAACAGTTTCATTATGCTAGGTAGACAATAAGTGCTCACCTACAAAAAATATTAAACCCTCCACCAATTCACCTGGGCCATTTTTTTCTCCAGCGTTTTATAGTAGTGTGTGAGTGGGAATGCAGGTACATAAAGTCACTCATCCCTATTATTTTCCAATTAAGGTATGTACAAAAAGCAATTCCGACAAATGCTAAGTATTCAGTTCTTATTATTCAAGTAATATGTTTTTAAAGGTATTTCAAAACGCTTTATACTCATAATCATTCATAATTCGTTTTTAAATTTAGATCATCAATGACAAAGTTAGGAGAATAATAAAATATAGGTACACATCGCCAAAAGTCTTGAAATATTTTGAAACATGACTTAATATTGTTTCAGAAAATATAATGTATAGGCCAGTATATTTTAATAAAATAATTGTATAGCAATGTGTATACAGGATCCTGCAGCGTTTTATAGCTGGCGTTCCATAATAGTTGCAGATTTAAAAAATGGTTATAATAGGGATCATTAAAATATTTTCAACTATACAGGATGTCCCAAAAAAATGTCGATCACATAAGTTTTTTGATATTTTTAGGAGTATTATGTGACTATACAGTATGTCCCCCTAAGCTGGAATCATATGGAAAACTTTTTTATAATTAATTTTAGGAAAAAAAATTATTCTTCATAAAAAGTTCTGCATTATCTAAAACCTAGAATACACTCATCAAATATCAAATTTTTCAGTGGTATACGAGATTTGTCAAAAAATATGAGTTTTACTCAAGAGTAAAGTACCTTTATTCTTTATACGACTGATAAAATTTGATATCTAATGGTTGTATTTTAGGTTTTAGACCATACTCGACTTTTTATAAAGAATAACTTTTTTCCCAATATTATTAATAAAAAAGATTTTCATATGCCGCCAATTTACGTAGACAGTTGGTGGCATAGGAAAGCTTTTTTATTACTAAAGACACTTCGAAATAAACGCAACTGACACAACGGAATATTCGTTAATAACTGAATTTAGTTTAACTACTATCCTCCTTTCGTTTCTCGATATCTTAAACAATAGTATTCTTGTCTTCAAAGTCTGATAATTTATTTGTAACTCTATATCCCATTATCGATAATCTCCTTAATAGACGTTTAGTACAGAAAGTCAGGTGGTCAGGCAAGTAAATTTTATTTATAAGTACTTTAAATTCTAGGAAATTTTTTATTATAAAAATAGTTTTACGTTCAAAACTGTTAACAATTGAAATAAGAGGGCCCTCAATTATAATATTAAAAAAACATATTCTTTACTATTTCATGAGAATATATATTTTAATCCGGACCTGGGAATCTTTTAACCAACAGACAATTTTATCGCTTATCTACAGATGGAACAATACTGATAATGAGGGTTGTGGGCTAATATGATTTATGGTTTTACTATACACTTATTTCGGAAATCGCCAAAAAATTCTTTGTATAATTTCGGTGAGTTTGCCGAATTCGCTCTTCATTTTATATGATTTTGGTGAAATCACCCACGGTTCTATATGATTTTGGTGATTTCACCGATATCTCAATTATTTTTTTTGCCGTTGTTTTTTGTTCTTTACTTGTTTTGCTCTTTACTTGTTTTTTTTTGTCTTCACTTGTTTTTTTTTTATCCACTATCACTATCTGCTGCGTTTATGTTTCGACGAAAAATGTATTTCAGTTATAATTTTGGCAATGATTTAGATTATCTAAAATATAAAATTCCGTAATTTTCGCAAATTTTGCCGTTCTATACCAAAAATTGTTATAAGACTGCCAGTCCAAAACAACTACAAATTAGTTTACCTAAACACCAAAAACTTCACCAAATTCACAAAATAACCAAATAATTCAATAAAATGAGCTTAAAATTATAACATAGGCAAAGGTAAATCCTGGGAATGGGCTTCTTATGTCACCTATGGTAAAGGACCTTGATTTTATTATGTTCAAAGATTTTCGATTTTCCCTTTTCCAACTAAGGGCGTCTCGGAGGGGAGGGTGTTTATGTCAACATGCCCCCCCAACAAAAATAATTTTTTTATAATTCATGAGCCTTTTATTAAAAAAATATTATTTAAAAAAAATTCGACTACGTTCCGGTCGATAGGCCGGATTTAGTGGTAGGGTCCGATTACAATTAGAAGAATACAGCTACGTCATTATTTGGCAAAGTAATTAATTGGTTATCACCGCCTACTGGGGGTTTAGTAGAGTGTTAATATTGTAGGAATTTAGGCATTCCGGTACATCCCTAGCACTAATCCGATTTTGTCTAGCAACACCTCGTAAACAGGTAGGGTCCGATTACAATTAGAAGAAAACCGCTACGTCATAAACATTACTTCAAATTTCGAATACATATTAAATAAAAAATAAATAAGTTGTTGGGTATAAAACAATAATTCCTATATTCCTATAATATTAACACTCCACTAAACCCCCAGTAGGCGGCGATAATCAATTAATTACTTTGCCAAATGATGACGTAGCTTTGTTCTTCTAAGAGGGAGAGCACACTCACGCGACATGTCACGCGCGACTGATCGCGAGGTATCGCGCGCGGCAATACTTTTGATGTTTTTAAATGACTCAAAGCCCATTAACGCGGTTCTGTCGCGTGGTCGCACGCAGCTAAGAGTAATTTAAAAACATGTAAAGTATTGCCGCGCGCGATGCATCGCGATCAGTCGCGCGCGTCGCGTGAGTGGGATTTCCCTCTAATTGTAATCGGACCCTAACGACTGTTACTAAAAGCCGTTGCCAAACTGTGACATAATCACAGTGTTCTCATTTATGTCATCTCTCCAATCCGGTCAGTCATTCAAATATTGCGCGAACGCTGCTGCCGTGATGTCTATGATCCTGATATTTTCACGACTTTTCTGTTACTAAGTTATTCTATTCGTCATTTTGACCCTTATT